TTGGATTTCAGTAAAAACTATCAAAAATAAAATCAGTTTGACTTTCATTTGTGAAATAAGAAACATTAAAGTGATCAAGTTAATAAATTATTGGTGCTCTTTCACTTTTCTTGGTGAGCAATGATGTTTTTGCTGAATAGTCTGTTGTTTTTGTAAAATATCCCAAGAATCACTGGGCAGATTGAAATGAAACCCTCAGATGGTAATCTGGATGAAACTCAACTCAGTTCAAGATTAAAAAAAAAATCAACTGACCTCAGAAAACAAACTGTTAAAATTCAGCTGGTTTTACAGATATTTGAGCTAGAGTTTGATATTCATGAAATTTGTATTTTAATAATGACTCAGAATAACTTCAGCCAATAAAAGCCTCTTTATGTAGATTATTTTCCTTAAAATCATTCGCTCAAAAACATAAAAATCCTTTGACGTTCTGAAACATTGCATCACTTTAAAAAAAACATTGCTGTGAAAATCTGACTGATAAATACTAACATCAAGATAAATTTCACTTTTTTTAAATCTGGACATGTGAGGTTTCAGACAAGAGAATTAGTTATTAGTTATCCTTGCCTGCCATCTTGTGGCAGCCTGTAATATACTAAGTGTTTCATTTTTAAACAATATGAATTCATTTAAATAATTTCTTCATGCTCAACCGTCAAATAAGAAACTCACAGCTTGAGTACAAATACATTATTAATCTTTTGTTTACAGGCTATTAATTTTAGAGAAATTACATTAATTTGTGTTGCTTCTGTTTTCACTCACATTTTACACACTTTACATATATTTATTTTACTAAACCAGAAGAACAGAGTGAAGCTGGTAAAACACAAATTTCATGTCTGATTGTGCAAATCCTGAATATGTTTACTGTAATTTCAGTTAATCATTCTAATTATGAGCAACATGTTCCTTTTTTTCTTTCACTTCCTTCATTCTGTTACAGATTGAAACTTGTTTTGTTTTAGATAAATTTCTCTAAATTACTCCCAACGGAAGGAAAAGGTTTTCCAGCTACATCTCAGCCTGTAATATAAGAAAAAAAACTGATTACATAAGTAAAAAAAAAAAAAGCAAGAGAGGAAAATGAGTGGGGGGTGCAGAGAAAAGCAGAGAGGAGGGTTTAAAACGAGAGCAGGAAGTTAGAATCAGCAGACAGAAAGAGAGCAGATTCAGTCCCCAGAGATCTAATTACACCATTATCTTATCGCCTGGTTCAGGGCCCTGTTAGAAAACTAATGTTGTTCCTTTTTCCTCCAACATTTTCCCAGTGACTGCTGCTAAAACACACAGCTCCTCCACTTCATCTCATGCTGCYGTCTAAAGACTGATCAGACGTGTCTGTCAGGGGAAGAGCGACGTTTCTCCTTCTTTTCACATTTATTGTCAGATTTCATTCCTGTTTTGTTTAATGTTGCAGCTAAAGATAACTTTTACTAATTGAGATTGTATAATGTATGTGTATTTGTACTGGATTTGAAACAATTGTTTTGTTAAACTATCTGGTAGTTTTGAATGAGAAACTTGGTGATGTGGACACACGTCAAACTTAAGGTCCGCAGGCCAAATCGGGCCCTTCTTAACACTGTGTCCGGTCTCAAACATAGTTCTTAAATGAACAGTTTCATGTGGATTTAGGTCATCATTCTCATGACAGCTGGCCCGCTCAAACTATGAAAAATAAGTTAGAAATTTTTCAGTTATTTTCTATTTTGGCCTGGAAAGAGCAACAGACAGCAACTTTCTTATTTTAACGTCAAATAATTGGATTTTTAGTGAAGGTTTTCAATTTCTTTTAACCTGATTTAATGGATTGTGGTAAAATCTATACCTAAATAATAATAAATGTAATACATAAGGAATGAATGCTAAAAATATACCCTTTTTTAACTAATAGGATATGTATAATCTAAATGTTACATAAAGCATATGTTTCTACTAACATAATATACACTCCTGATTAAAATCTTAAGACCAGTCAAAAAAGTGCAAGAATTTGCATTTTGCGCTATCGGATCTTAAGAAGGTTCTAAGTAGAGCTTCACAATGTTAAAAGAAGAAATCAGTGCAAGAGACAAGAACTTTTGAGCAGGGAATTTTCTGAAAACTGCATTTACACTCAAACATGATTTTTTCAGCTGATCAATCTTTAAAAGCCAAAGTCTGTGCAAAAATCTGGATTCCATGTCATTTTCTGTCAAGTCTTTACACTGTCAAGACCTCCTGATGGCAAAAGTAAAAAAGTTCACTGACTTTGAACGTGGTAGGATTGTTGAGCTGCAGAAGCAAGGCCTCTCACAACGTGCCATCRCTGCTGAAGTTGGACGCAGTAAGACAGTCATTTTGCATTTTTTAAATGATCCTGAGGGTTATGGAACAAAAAAGTCAAGTCGTAGACCCAAAAAAATGTCACCAGCTCTGAGCCGCAGGATCCGATTGGCTGTCCGTCAAGACACGGGACGATCCTCTACCCAAATTAAGGCCATTACTGGTGCTGACTGCAGCCCAATAACCATCAGACGGCATCTGTGAGAGAAGGGCTTCAGAAACAAAAAACGTCTTCAAAGGCCACGTCTTCTTCAACACCACAAAATTGCCCGTTTGGACTTTGTAAGGGTGCACCAAACATGGGGCATTGAAAGGTGGAAGAAAGTTGTCTTCTCTGATGAGAAAAACTTTAACCTTGATGGTCCTGATGGCTTCCAACGTTACTGGCATGACAAGGAGATCCCACCTGAGA